GGGAGGTAGAGGCGGTGGTTGGTCTTCATCCTATGATAGGGAGGCGTACCTGGACCTGGGACGACGACCTCCCACCTGCTTCTCCCTCACCCACACGCCCCCGTCTCCCTCTAATTCTAAATTTCTAATCCCCCTTTTCTCGGCTGAAAACTACGGCTCCGAGCCTCCGATTCCACCCTTTTTCATTCAGGTTTGCTCCGCGCCTTTGCCTGAACACATTCTTCGTTCAGTTGTCACGGTTTCATCGGCTTGCCATTGCGAACAACAGTAGAGGTCGTATCCAGGTGGGAGGTGGGCCAGACTTCGGGGCCCGGCCCTTTATCCAACTGTTCGGCCGCTGATAAGCCAGGCTGTTGCTGTTTTTTTTGGGAAAAACATTGCAGCCTGGTTGATAAGCCGGGGTGATAAAGCAAACAGGGTTGGGCGACACATCCATGCATGATCCATCGTGCTAGCGGCCTATCAATCGGGGGATGGACCCATGGATCAGTCGCTGTGCGAACAGTCCAAGCAGATCATGGGTGCGGCCATCAGGCCATGTATGTGGGACTGTGGGAGCCGTCGTTCCTTCTCCGTGGGCTCCGGCGGCGGAGAATCTTTAGAGCAAAGCGACAGCGAGACAAGACGCTGAGGACATGCGTATCCTGATATTCCCGCGTATCCAGAAAGATTAGTTCCAGCTATATAAATACAAACATTGATCTTCAGACAGTATCCTGTATGGCACGCCACGGCCGAGCTAAGATTCGTGCGCGCACGTATCCGAACAGGGGCTCATTTGTAAGAGATGTAGTACCTGGGGCATCCAATCCAAGGGCGTACTACCTAGCTTGGGGCCGTGCTTCCACGCACGAGCGCGCATGATTTTGCTAAAAAAAAACCGAGCGCGCATCATCACATTTTAGGTAATTTGTCTCCTCCGTCACTTTTCATTTTGGGAACGTCTCACAAAAAAAAACTTTCATTTTGGTAAGTTATTACTTTGCACGTAATATATACTCCACATGGATCAAGATACCCTAGGTGTTGAATTGCGCTAACTAAAGGCTCGTTTGATGCGGCTCCCGCACCGGCGGCTTCTCCACGAGCTTCGGCGCCAAAGCCAGCGAAGCCGTATTGAACGCATCATCCGTGAGAAACGCTTCTGGTACCGGATAGGAGGATCCGGAGCCTAAAAAAGTGGCTTCGCCTCGGAAGCTCCGACGCCGGCAGAGGAGCCGCGCGGATGAAGCGCTCCACACGGCCCCTAAAAAAGTTTCACCGAAATTCGCTTAACCTATTTTACTGTGTCTAACAAATGTCTATCTAATCGCATTAAATTTTGCACTCTAGTTTTAACCCTGCTCGTTCTGGAAATACTTAAAAACAAGAATTGCATGAAAGTATAGTTCAACGTCAATAAGGGTGGATATTGGTTTATTTGTGGGAGTTCAGCTCCACAGTATTTACAGAGCAGCTGGATTAGTACCTACATAGCGAAAGTTCAACGTCAGTAAGGGTGGATATTGGTAAGTCAGCAATATTGCGTGAGCATGATGGCCGTTTTAAAATGCAAGAATTTTCTCTATTTCTTGTGCCTTTAGGTAAATAAATATGAGCTAATTCATACGAAATTTCAATACAATTACTGCGTTCGGAACCGGAATATGCGACCATGGTTCCAATTCCAAAATAACGTTTTGGTGCAGGCACGGAGAGGATGGAGTGGAGGCCGGAGAATAGCTGTTTCACAACATAGTTTGGTGCACCGAAACCTTATTTGGCGTTTAAATAAAAAAACATATTCGGCAAGTGGGATGTGATAGTTATTTATTTTGCGAGTACAAAAGATATGACATGCACAGATGCACTATTATTCATCCTATTCTATGTAGTCCACGTCCGCGAGAGAAAGTGGTCCCCGATCGAGACTTTTTTTTTATTCGTAATAATAGCCAACAGACGTACATTATACTTGTCATCTGAAATATTAGTTACGTGACGCCGTGACGGGAAAAATACATAATACCGGACGAGCAGAGCTGTTAACCTGTCATCTGAAACAGCCACGAGAGCTGTTGCATTGCATCCAGATTCTTTCGAGGCGAGACGATAAGAGACTCGCTCGTGAGAGCCATTAGGCCAGGACGCACGATGCTTTAGCCGTTGACTTTCTCTCGCCCTTGTTTATTCATTCATTCGCATAGTGCTACATGTCATTGACATTCGACCGGATTAGTTTCTTTAATTGTCAGATGCGACGAAAGCCAGATGTATGCGCACCACTGTGGTCGCACAGGATGGAGATGGAGCACTAGTGGAGGTAAGTGTGCAGCAACTCCTGTTTCCTCCCATCGTTGCAGCACAAACCTCTGAATTTTGGCCGTATAGATAACTTAATCTAGAGAAGCGCACACGTATATATAGTATGGGCTCTAGTAATAATCTTTGGCGCTGAAAGTGACATGCTACAGTGTAGCTTTGGATTTGCTGGAGGAGGGAGATGATAGATCGAGGGACAAGAAAGCACTAGTCATCTTCTTGGAAAACAAATTCTCGTGCTGTTGGCTAGTTTGGTTGCTCCAAGCCAAAGATGCAACGGCGCCACAACGCTGAGGTGGATCCTACCAGGCAGCATATCCTCGCGGGCCCACCTGTCACCAGGCAACTCGAATCTCCCGTCTCCCTCTATCATGCAACCACGCCTGAGCATATTGTTTAGCGTCCTGAAGTCTCATCCGAGTGCTAGTCCATAGGAAGCGAACGAATATCCATAGGAAGCGAACGAATATCTAGCGTGTTGGCTCGCAAGGGAGGGCATCAGTAGTGGTCCCGCGTCGCTTCGGACGTGGTCCGCGCCATCGGCCGCTTCCCACGTGTATTTTATAGGCTATATCTCAATCTATTTTTAAAATATTTAGATGCAACAGTTGCAACATATAAAAAAAGACAAATAAAACATTTAATATAAACGTTGGAAACCAGTGCCTTGCGAAAACGTCTTAAAACATTTGAAAACCATTACAAAACGTATGAAACGTCCAGATGAAACACTTTTGCAAATATACGTAGAAAATATCTAAAAACACTTGAAACATATGCATGTATATGCAACATCCAGACAAAATATTTGCAACATTCGTCTCGAACAGATGATACACTTGAAACATACATGTATAGATATTACAACATGTGTAACATCCGATCTACTTTCTCAACATTGATATATAATACTTACAACATAACTCGCAAACATCTAAAACACTTAAAATATACTATAACAATATGCATTTTTAGTGTAACATTTTTTCACTGCTTGAACAAATGGAGGCTCATCGACCCGAAGCTTGATGCCAGCACGGAGCCCGTAGTCGCGGAGGTCGACGGTGTGAAGCTCGGCTGCGCTACGGACCTCGACGGGGGCAGAGACAGGCACATGGAGCACAACCGTGACAGGAGGTGCGAGTCCATAAACGAGCTAAGCCAGGCGGCGGGAACGACGAGGGCGAGGACATGGTCCGTCCCACGACGAGAGCGAGCGGGCCGAGGGCGGGAACTTCTCGTACAGTTCCACGTGCGTGGGGCCAGTGTGCACGTCAGAACTTACGTGGCAATGTGTACCAGCGAGCTCCGCCGTGCTTGTGCAGTCTTTCGACTCGGTGGCTCGGTGCACTCCAGCCAGTAGTTGATTACTTGATTTGGTCAAGCTAGGCGCAAACGCTACAGGGCAGTAGGGTACGTTTGTATCCCTCACTTGTATTTTGCCTTGTCTGGCTGGATCAAAGATAAAAGTGTATGGTTTACTTGCTCACTGTTTCAGTTCTTATGCTTTTATTAAATCTTTTGTTTCCCAAGTCAAGCAAGCTAAATTCGTTTTTCTTCCCCAAGTCAACCAAACGTGCCTCTCTCTCACTCTCTCTCTCTCTCTCTCTCTATATATGCATCAGAAAATAAAAACAAACAGACCAGAGTGACACGCAAAGTGAGGTCGTTGGTAGGCTAAGTGGGCTAGATTGTTATGGACTACGGAGTAGTGCCCACCATCGGCCTGCGGGATGATCTACCACATTCGGCCCAGTGCGAATCCGGCTCTTCAGTTTGGGCTTTGTTCCAAACGTGCCGCATGGGCTTCGGTTGATTCTACGTGGCTGCCACCGCCAAGCGTCGAGCAGAGAAGACACCCGTTGCGACGCGTCGATCTCCAACGCCGGCACGGAGCTCGACTCCACACACACACAGCCCCCGCCGCTACCGCGAGGCTCGATTTTGAACCGAGCTGAACATTCTGGAATTTTTTTTAGGGTTCCGAGGTCTCTCTGTCTCGCGTTTCTCCGTCTGGTCTTCCCCGTTCGCCGCGAAAGCGGTAAAGAGGCCGCGATCTTTGCCGCCCTCGTCCCTGCTCCCGTCTCGCCTCCTCCCCGGTTCCTCTCTCTCTCTCTCTCTCTCTCTCTCTCTCTGCGCTCCCCCAGAGCACCAAAGTCACCTCCATAATCAGGTGAACTGTTTTTCCTCTTTTTTATTCATTTTTGTTTTCCTTCCAGAAGGTATTGTTGGTTTGCGGCTTTACTCTCTTTGTGCCGTCGGTGGTGCCAGTTGAAATGTAGTTTTTTTTGTCTCCGATCATGGTCAGTCGCACTGCGATTTCGCTTCTTGTGAGGGTTTGGTGCTTGCGGCGGTGGGGATTGGTGCGGATTTTCGTCAAACGGCGGTGGGGGATAGTTGCGGACTTGCGGTTTTCTCTTTGCATTGTGTCTCGCGCTCCCTACATAAAACTAGGATGTGACAAGTTTTCTCGAAGAGCATAACTGAAATCAAACAAACCTAGCATCACTCAGTTTTGGTGACACGATCGAAGCAGACTACTTTTAGCAACCCAGATGAATCTGCTCTGTGCTGCACTATGCCAGTTTATTTCAAATTAGAAATTAAGCCGATGAAACTCATTTATATGGCTGCAATACTGTCTTCAGTATATTCAGCATCTTCATACTGGTTCTGTTCATTTGTTGCCAACATCCAGGATGCGGGAGGCACAGTTGGGCTCCCACACGATTCAGACCCACGGAGTGAGACTGGCCAGAAAGCACACGCACGACTGGGTTGTTCTGATTCTTCTGGCTGCACTAGTGGTTGCCCTGCATTACGCTCCCCCGTTCAGTCGATTCGTCGGGAAGGACATGATGACTGATATTAGGTACCCGGTGAAACCAAGCACAGTACCAGCGTGGGCTGTCCCTGTATGTTTCTGAACATTTCCTTCCAGTTTTGTTCTCTGATAACTCACTCCATTCAGCACTGATGTGGGGCGTTCAACCTTTTTGCTAGATGATCTCTATACTCTGTCCCTGGCTCGTCTTCATATCCATATATGCTTCCAGGAGAGACATTTATGATCTGCATCACGCAGCACTAGGTTATTTGAAACGCCCCTGTTATCTTCTGTCTTTAATTATTCAGCGCGAAGACTTGCTGATTGACACGTTGCTGAGTGATTCGTTCACGTATAAATCCTCCAGGTGTCCTTTTCGCTGTGCTGATAACTGCAGTTTTTACTGATGTGATAAAGACTGCAGTAGGGAGACCAAGGCCAGACTTCTTTTGGCGATGCTTTCCTGATGGAAAGCAGGTATACTACTTCCTTGTGTTCATTTATGTGTAGAAATAGTTCTTCCCTAGGGATGCTTTCCATAGTTTAAGATTAACACAGTGCTTCTATGGTATGTTTGGTGCAGTTGTACAATCAGGTGACTGGTGATGTGATTTGCCATGGTGAGAAAAACTTCTTAACGGATGGGCGCAAGAGCTTTCCTAGTGGCCACACTTCGTGTAAGTTTGCACTAATAAGTGCTCATAGACTCTAGCATTTAGATGGATAAGCTTGCTTGTCCAAGTGTAGAGCTAATAATTGAGGTATAAAATACCGGTACTAGATTGTCAACAAATGCTGCGTTCATTAGCAGTAGTGGCACGGATCTAAATATTTTACTGCATCTGTAGCGATGTATGCCTGGACCTTGACCCAGAAAGTTTGTATCCTTATACTTTGTCTTTGTTACTATTTGTATAATTTCTTCTTATCTCAACCAAGTGATTATCACAAGCATAGAAAACTCAGAACGTTGTAGCAACTAGTACAGCTATGTTTTTTACGCCTGACTGGTCAGTGTCTGAAAGTATTTACATTCCCAGGGTCTTTTGCTGGTCTTGGATTTTTATCACTCTACTTGTCAGGCAAAATTAAGGCCTTCGATCGCCAAGGTCACGTGGCCAAACTTTGCATAGTGATCCTTCCGCTTCTTCTTGCTTCACTTGTTGGGGTTTCAAGAGTAGATGATTATCGACACCACTGGGAGGATGTGTTTGTTGGCGGCCTTATTGGTGTGTGCCTAACCTCTTCTTTTTTCTTCTGGATTAAAAGCTTTGATGCCATTAGTAAGCAGTAACCGATCTGAATTGATGTTGTACAGGATTTATCATGGCAGTGCTGTGTTACTTGCATTTCTTTCCTCCTCCATACCATGATCAAGGTTGTTCAATATTTCTCGCTAAACAAATTCCTTTCAATAGTACTGCTTTAAGGGTTTGCCCTGCTATCAGTGATCCTCTTTCTTGAACATTTTCCATTGTTAGTTTTGTTTCTATAATTTTAATTTTTCTTTTTGGATATGACGGTCTTTTCTTTTCGCCTTCAGGCTGGAGACCATATGCATACTTCCACATGCTGGAAGAACTTCAAGCCACAAATTCAAACAACGCACAAAACCAACAGTCCACAGGTGGTCATCGCATTGCCATGTCCGAGCAGCAGCATAACAGGACATCAAGAAACGATTTGGAATCTGGAAGCGTGTAACATGCCTCCTGCACTTTTACTGAAGTAGCAGCGATGTACATTGTACAGTAAGTGCAACCTAACCTTCTATGCGTGTACTCGACATGTGTTACAATATAGAATTAGAGATATATAGTTTCTTCTTACCCAGTGTTACACTGGCTAGATCTTGTGTGAAATCAGAAGCTAGTAAGGCCTAACCTAGATGTTCCAGGCCTACCTGTGGCCAAATTAGTTGTAAGAGTTGCTAGTGGAGGTACTGATTAGGAACTTATTCCAGTTATGAAAGAGTAGCAGAAAGTAGAGTTGAAAATGACAAGCACATCTCCTAAACATTCTGGTCCAGCTTGCACCGTCCAATGGGTTTCAAGGCCTATTCTTCTGTTCGTAGATATACGGCCAAATATATTTGTTTTGTCTCCCTATTTGGATGACCAAATGGATTCCTGGTCTTATTCAGAGTTGGGTTGAACAAATCAACACGGATCGAGATCTTAGTTGTTAAGTAGAGGCAAAAGCACCACCACTGAATCCTGTACATCTTAGTATGCTACTTGTCGAAAAGCATTCTTCGGATTTTTAATACAGTTCCCCCACGCATAAAAAATGCTTTGCATTTTGGCATATCGTGTTAGTCTATGAAGTCTTTGCCTTTTAGGCGGAATCACATGGACTTTCCGTTCGATGTATTTAGCCACAATGCATTATTGTTATTCATTAGCCATGCTTGATATTTACAGCAGTTAAAGGATTCCTCTTTTTTTTTGAGACGATAGTCAAAGGATTCCTATATAGAAGCCGCTTGCTCAATTCACGTTCCCGTAAAAACAAAAGCGTGCTGCAAAGTGAGGCTTTTATATTCACATTTTTTTGGCCCAAGCTGATGAGTATGTGCAACATGAGATCTATCTACCATAATGGCTAAACATGAAGCATAACTTGAAAAGAAAATGGATGACCATCTTTAAGAAGTTAACTGACGAATAACATGAAAAGACGCCCAGCTTTCAGAACTTATGAGTGGGCCAACATGAGTACACGCGTCCGGCAAATATGCGGCGAAAATCGTTTAGGCACCATGGATATATTTGTGGTTGTCGACAACAATGTAAAGACACTGAAAATAGCAAAGGGAAAAGGGAGCTCGTGGAAGGTATGCACCCTTTTTTTTTTCTTTTTTTTCTTCTTTTGAAAGCACCAAGTTTTGGGTTACACAGCGAGCGGCTTTCTGCAGCTCTAAGCTGTACTTGGCTTCAGAGTTCAGATGGAATTGCATTCATACTTGGTTGCCAAAGCAACCTTACTATGCTATGCATTCTCTGTGAACAGCCGTTTAATTGGTGTATATGCAATACTGAATGAACGTCTTGGTTACAAGCTGTTCAAAAGGTGTATCATATACACTATCCATCACTTATGTATTGTGAATACGCTGATTCAGGCAGAAACTTTGTTAACTTCATCACAGTGAGCACAGAAACGATATGCCAAAATGCACAGTCCTCTTAGCTTAGCTTGTGAAAGATTTCACAGGCAGGCTGGAGAGCTTTGGAACGCACCTACTCTGAGGCTTGAATTCACGGTGCTTTCAAGTAGCTTTGAGAAGTAACAAAAACAAGACCCGCTGATACTTATTTATGTGACAGATTGACGGTACAGGAAGAAAGTGAGACCAAGGCCACACTGCTTACTAAGATACAGCCTCTGCTTACATACTAAAGCCCCGTCGACCCTGTTCACCCCTTCATTGGACACTTGGACAGGGTAGCGACATGGGAGGCCCTGATCCACTCTGCTGCGTCCTTCACTCCTACTGTCCCCTCCATGTGCCTCTGCTGAGTTTCTTCAGCAGATGGAAGGACTGACAAAAAAGAAGAGCCACAAAACTAAAACACACTCACTTCTCTGCTTGTTATATGGTAGCTAATTGTTGTCCAACTCCACAACTGCCGTCCTGCGTGTGCGCGCGCTCTAGCAGCCATGGATGGCACTAATACCTTCCGTGATCGGCAGTAGCCGTGGCAGCCGGGTGGTGGCGGCGGTAGAAATCCGCGGCGGCGGCGGCGTCCTCTCTGTGGGCAGGCTCGTAGTAGTAGTAGTTGTTGTGCGCGGCGACGCCGCGTGCTCCATCGGCCGCAGCAACCATGCCGTTTCTAGCGGCGGTGGGCTGCTGCTTCAACGTCCCGTCAGCCTTCTCCTGCACGCCGGCGGGAACGGCATGCGTGGGGGCGGGGCGTCTCCTCACGTCGTTGGACGCCTTGCGGTCCGCCTCGGCGGCGGCGGCAGGCGCGTGGTGGACGGGGTAGCCGTTGCCGTTGTAGTGGCCGCCGCCGTTGTGCTGCGCGGGAAGCTGCGTCGTCGGGCCCTGCTGCTTGTTCGCCGGGGCGGGCTGATGGTAGTCGTCGTTGACGGTGCTTGACATGCAGAACCAGGAGTCGATCGGGAGGCACATTCTTGGATGCGGCGGCGGGTGGTGTTGGTCCTCGACCTTTACCTCCTCGTTGCTTGCTTGCTTGTAGTGGAATGGATCGCTGCACTGCTATGCTATAGTAGCAGAGAGGGTGTTGGATCGGAGTTGCTTGCAGGCCACTGGCACTAGTCTTGGTGTTGCTTCTTGGTGGCCTGGTACGATACTGGTGTCCCGCCGCGGGGGCGCATATATACGGGCGTCGGGTGCCGAGCTCGTACGTGAGGGCGACCGAGCAACAGGCCAACCGCCGTGTGGGTGTGGACACGGAGGCGAAAGGCAGTTAGGCGCGGCCCGGTGACTCGCCGGGGGCTCAGTCGTCCTGGACTCCTGGTCTATCTACACCAGATCAGTTCAGTTCGCCACCGTGTCGATTCGATCGAGCCTCGGTTCCGTTCGGTTCGGTTCACACGTCGACGTCGTCCCACCACAAACACTGTCGTGGCGAGGGCGAGGTGACCTGACGTCGGGTCGGTCCCCTGCGTCGTCGTCATCGACATTCGACGACAAGGCCGGCCGGGCTGTGTGTGATGGCCGGGTGCGCGTCCCCGTCGCGGGTGCCTGGCCGGCGGGTTCGCGGCAGCCGGCCAGCAGCGGTGGCTTGATGCCACGGAGGGTTCAGCTTCAGCAGGTGGGAGGGAGGCCGGTGGTGCGGCCCGCTGTCACGTCCACGTCTTCTTGGCTCGATCGGACTACCTCCGTCCGAAAGAACGTAATTCTCACGTTTCCAGTAGTTAAATAGTTTAAACTTTGATTGAAATTATATAAAAAAAATACTAACATACTTATAAGACAAAATAAGTATCATTATACTAGTTATATAATATATTTTTATAATAAATTTATTCAGAGACACAAATGCTAATACTATTTATCATAAATTTGGTCAAACTTAACTAGTTTGACCAGCACAGTTTCTATAATTGTACTCTTTTGTGGACGGAGGAAGTACTCGCCAAATAAATATCACAACCCATCTTGCCAAATATTTTTTTTAACACCAAATGAAGTTTCAGCATGGGGAACGCCCGGACGTCCGGACGGACACCCGCGTCCGGATGCGGCGTCTGCTGCTCCATTTCACATGTGTTCGCACGCACGCGGGAACCTCCGTGCCTTCTCGTACGGACACTCGCACCTGCATGCACGCGGTGCCGCGCGCCCCTGCCTCCGTACCACTCCGCATCACGTGCCCGGGACCCCTGCCTCCATCCCCCTCCGCTTCCCAAGCGCATGCACGGTGCCCTAGCAGCTGCAGCAGACGGGTCCCGCTGCAACATGTACAACACCGTATCTACTTTTTACAACATCTATATGAAACACTTACAACATACGTCCAAAACAGGTGAAACACATGCAACGTACGTCTGAAACACTTGCAAAACACCTAATAGCCATTGCAAAACATATGCAACATCTAAAACTCCTCCTTGTCCATGATACTTACTTGCAATGGATTCAAAGTCTTCCCAAGTAGCTTCTTGGTTGGACCAATGAATGAGCACTTGTGGTACCGCTGCATTTCACCTTTCACCTTGCGACGAGATATGATAGCAATTGGCTTAATCCGAGGTTTCCCTTCCGGGCCCACCAATGGCAGTTGAGGAGACACTGCTTTCTCTCTTCCTAACCTCGCTTTGAGTTGCTTCAATGAGATTGGAAAGGAGGATGGAAGCAATGAGCGACCCTGACTTTATTAGGTTTATGAAAACTCGTTATTCAACACTTGCAACATATGTATGAAACACTTGAAACATACTCTTACAACATGCATGTATATGCAATATCTAGATAAAACATCTGAAACATATGTCTGAAACACCTGAAACACTTAAAAATATACTTTTGCAATATACGTATATTATCATTGCAACATATGCAACATCTCAAATATACTTTTGCAACATCTAGACCAAACACTTTGAAACATAAGTCTGAACGCCTGAAACACTTGAAACACAGCATCGCCGGCGGCCACGGCCTACCTAGTGGGGAACTGCGGAAGCCAGCAAGCTCGGGTCAGGGATGTCGGCCCGTTGCTCCTCCTGCGATTCTCCCATGACTGCTCGCTTCTTCCAAAGCTCGCGCCGTCGGCCCAGACTTCTCTAAGCGCCGCTTCTTTGCTCGCTCGGCCGATCGTCCAACACCGCTCGCCGGGGAGATGGAGCGGCGCGGCCGGGATTGGGGTGCGGCGCGGTGGGGGAAGGGCACAGCGCGGCGGTGGATGGACGTATGCGCGGTGATGCCACGCGCCGATGCGAGTGCGAGTGGGAAAAATTTTAGCGATGGAAGATGGAAGAGACGTAGAGGCGCAGACCCGGGAAGGCACGCTTCCGGACCGGGCGGACGATCGTGTGCAAGCATTTGCGATGAGGTTTTGATACACCAAACTGTGATGTGTTCTCCGGTTTTCACTCCTGTCTCCATTATAATGGACCAATACGCTATTTTAGAATCCATGCTTATAGTTATTCTTTTATGGATCTGCCGATCTCGAGCGTCAACTGCGTAGTTCCACCAGGCTATCGCTAGCACGCATCGCGAACATGGTTCCATGCGACGACGGGCGGGCTCCTGCCGTGCCGTCCCTGCCTGCCACAGGGACACAGGGTGCACTGTATCCTCGCTCGTGTTTCACGGAGAATATGTTCTCGCCTGACCTTATTATTCAACAGGGCTCAACCCATCCATAAGACCCGAATTGTCAAATGGCCTAGACTTTGACCACCTGGCGCCTTTATTCCCGCACAAACCGGCCAGCCGGAATGTGCTGCTGCTGGCTCCGTGGCGGACGCACAAACAGGCCCGGTCGCTTGAATGCCCATGGAAAGGGCGATCGAGGAGTAGATCCGTGGCGCCAGAAAAAGGACAGAACACTTGGATCACAGGCGAACCGTAGCTTGCCAACAAGGCGATGGCGATGGATACGCACGATCGCCGGAGGTGATTGTCCACCGAAAGTTTTCATTATTGTAGATGCTCTCTTCATTAGCCTCCCTTCATTACCACTGGTTAGTGTCCATGTCCAACAAGATCTCGTGAGAACGTTCAACCGTTGGACCGGTTTAGTGCGAGCCGCGTTGGTGGAGGTTATGATAATTTACATCGCGTGGAGATTGTGCGGGATTAATATGTGAAAAAAGAGTGTAATATTCCTGCCAAAGTGGTTATAAGTGAAAAGCTGTTTGTAAACTAAACTGTTAAGATCTCTTTTCGAGTTAACTAGGGCAGGAGGTTAGTGCTGCAATAGCATCTTGGTTTAAGAAGAAGACCGCGTGGAAGGATTGTTTTTGGATAGAAAATTCCTTTCTGCATATTCATTGGGAGTTGGATTGGATGGAACTTGGCATATGAAAAAAAAAAAACTGGCGGCGCCAGCCGGCCAGAATAGGAAAGGCTGCCATGTTCATATATTCTGAACAAAAGTACTGCTACTGATTTCTTCGATTAGTTATCGGTGTCTATATGCTTATTCCTTTAAGGTCCAGTTTAGTTCCAGAAAATTTTGGAAAATTTTTCAAGATTCCACGTCACATTGAATCTTTGGACACATGCATGAATCATTAAATATAGATAAAAAATAAAACTAATTACACAGTTTAGACGAAATTTACGAGACGAATCTTTTAAGCCTAATTAGTTCATGATTGAATACTAATTGTCAAATAACAATGAAAAGTGCTACAGTAGCATTCTGCAAAAAAATTCGCCATCTAAACACTACCTAAGTCATTTTATTCAAAAAGGTAATTATACCCAGGGCAGGTACTCGCATAAATAGTTTATTTCAATACTGCAACAAAGGTCTATTGAGGATACGAAAATCAACAAAAGCATAGCTACTGACTCTTTGTTGTAGGAATCTCATAGGAATTGTGTTGGAATTTTATATGAATTGGTTTATTTTTACAAGAAAAATACATGAAACAGGAAAGTTTCCTACAATCCAAAGCCCTAGAAGTACATCAGTATGATTAATTGTTTGTATTAGGGTTAGATTGCACTATACTTTATGTAGTGCAAGATAGACGTGTATGTAGTGCGTGGTGCTTTGTTGTCCTGTACAGGCAAGTCACACTTGGTAATCAAATTATGTTTAGTTATTACTTCCTCAATCCTAAATTATAAGACGTCTTGACATTTATAGAGTCATAGCTTTTACCATGTACCTAGGCATAACATATTTTGTCACATATTTCTAGTACAGGTATGAGGTTGAGAATATTTCATTTTTTTGTTCCCATTGCTTGTGCAAATCTGTATTGTTTGGCGTAATAGTTAGTACTACTGCGTTAGGCTTGCTCGTGCAAATCTGTATTGTTTGGTGTAATAGTTAGTACTGCATTAGGCTTGCTTTGAGAACAAATCTGGTGTACTAGTAAAATGTGAAAAAGGGTAATATTCCTGGAAAGTGGGTATCAGAGAAAAGCTGCATCTAAATTAAACAGTTCATTAAGATCTGTTTTGGAGTTAACTAGGACATGAAGTTAGTGGTACATAGCATCTTGGTTTAAGAAGATATCGTGGAAGGATCGTTTTGATAGAAAAATCATTTCTGCATATTCAGTGCAGGTTGGATTGAATGGAACTTGGCAATTGGCATAGAGATGAATAAAACTGGAGGGGCCAGATTAGAAAAGGCCGTCATGTTCATATTCTGAAGGGAAGAAGTACTGATTTCTTTGATTAGTTATCGATGCCTATATGCCTCATTTTATTAAAAAAAGTAATTATACCCAAGCAGGTACTCGCAAACATAATTTATTCCAACACTGCTATAAAGATCTATTGGGATACGAAGATCAACAAAAGCATAACGATTCTTTGTTGTAGGGTAATGAGCAGAGTTATAGCCCACCACAATTGAAGAACGTCACCAGATCGAGAGTTATTATCAGGAAGACCATGTTTGGCTCCCAGGAATTGAGAGAAATTGAGAGTAATCTAATAATGAAATGGAAAACACTTTTTAGATACGGGTTTCTGTAAGTTGAGTAGAGAAGCAGTTCTCGCTGCAAAGGCTAGAGCTGCAGGCAGCCTCTGCCAATGCCATGATGACTGATGAAATGTTTGAGATGCTGGCCTTGATGTAAATTGATTGTGCTTGATGCAGCTGGTTATTGATGATGAGCACAGCAAGTCCTGCTGCTATGCTTGCTTGCGTAGTTTGATCTGAATGCAAATATATGATCCAAGTTGAACTACCACGCCTGATTCTTTACCTATGCCAGAGTTTTGATCCAAGTTGAGTAAATCTTGTAATTATTTAGTGGTTTAGAAAATACTAATCATATCTAAAAATTCCAACATTGGAAACTTTGATAAGTATCCCAACTCATGCATATTTTTAGCCTAGTTTGAAATTAAATACCTTCAGTTTTACAACAATTAATAATGGCATTATATTATAGTTAAAAATGAACAACTGCATATCTCGTTATCGAAATATTAACATATTTGATGCTCATTATCTAGTTATATTTGAGTGAAGAAGGAGAACATATTGAATACTTTTTTACCTATGCTAAGATTAGGCCCGAGTTCTTGCTTATTTAGTTTTACCTTAAAATTCGGAAACTTGATTATCCCAACTCATGCTTTTCTTGTTCTTATACATGTCACCAAAATCGAATGTTCACACTGTGTATAGCGCACATTTCAAGTCTAATTATTAGAAAATAGTAGTACACCAGAAAGAGCTAGCGGCGGCACTATCGCACCAATCGTTTGTAGCGCGGCGCTTAGTTCTGTTCACGCCATTTCTATTGGCGTGATAAATAGCGTGCCTTGTCAACACTTGCCGCTAGCGTGACAAATTTATCGCACCAATATGTATAGCACGGTATTATTCATCGCGTCATGCGACTAATAAACAAACTAGATATGAAAATATCTTGTAATGTACCAGTTATATATATATATATATATATATATATATATATATATATATATATATAACGGACTGCGCTAATTGACACCCTGGTTACTAAATAATATTGAGTACCCGGGCCCCTTGCACGCCCGAGAGTCCCAGCCAGCCAAGAGTGCGTCTCGTGAGTCCCTCCCTGCCCGCATCCTAACCCCAAGCGCCCGCACGCACGAGGGGAAAGGAGCTAGGGAAACTGCGTACCCTGTCCCACGTTCCCAGGCGAGGAAACCGTCGCTGACCACGCGCGCCAGGCGAGACCGCCGAGCAGCCTGTACACCGGCGAAACCCTGCCGCGCCACCGACGAGGCTGCTATTGGGGAGCACACCGGAGGCGCGGCCCCGCCCGGAAGCCCCTCTTCTTCTTCTTCTTTGAGGCCGGCACCCCTCTCCATCCTCGCGGACGGGCGGCGGCCCGTGAATCGCGCAAGCTCACGAGAGGCGGACAAGCGGCGGCGGCGCGAGCTTGGGCGAGGCGGACAGGCGGGTGGGCGGCGGCGCGAGGTCGGACGGCCGAGGAGCCCCCGTCGCCAGAGCCGCGGTGGCCGCCGAGACGCCGCTAACCCTCCCCTGCCGAGAAATCTGCTCGCCGAAACAGCGCACCAGGTGTGAATTACATGAATTGTGAGCTTGTTTTCATCAAATTAAAAAATCTGAGTGAACGAGATGAATTTTAGCTTGTGGAGCAATGCTTCTGCGGGTGATGTCTTCACTTCTAGTGGATTAGATCAGAAGTAATAATGGGTGCTTGTTTTATGTTTCACATGGCACTTATTATGGCTATCCAGTAATCCTTATATGTTTCCGTGATGTTTCTCAGATTAATTATTATTTGAATGAATCGAAGCTCCGCCACTAGTCAGTAAAGTTATTCAATCAGAATGGGTTGCCGGAAGCAGTTGTTTGGGGAGGAAAGCAATTGTAAAGGGGTTGTGACTGAATCGTCGGCATCGCAAACAATGCACACGACTAATGTGGCTGTGGCAGATGGAAGATCAGGACAAGGTCACGATAGCTTACCGGCATGTATTTCAGAAGGTGGAACATCATCGTGCACACCAGGCCGTAACGAGGATGTTGTGGCTGGCATTTCAGAAGCCGGAACATCATCCAGCAGAGGCATGTTCTCACCAATGGCAATAGTTACAGAAAGCGAGAACGCTACACCAGATGCCGAAAAGAAGTACACCCATGTGAGTAGCTTGTTTGTGACATTTGAATAAAAAGTTCGAAGATTCTGCTATGTGAATATGAAATAAAATTAGGTTTCAAAATTACCAAATGATCAAAGTTGTGATGATGGGATTCAGAAAATAGAGCTGAGAAGTATTCAGACTTGAGAAATAATGAAAAAAGTAAATGTACAAACTTGACATAGGCTGTAATGTGCATGCTTACAATATTTAGATTGAGGAACCAGACATGTTGAGGTCTTATATAGGCTGAAATTCACTGTAATCTATTTTGACTGAGATAAAAATTCGAGCAATTTTGCATTGCCTCTTGGTGGAAAATGGAAATATCTAATTGCATATGTTGTATGCAGAAAGAAGACATTGATCCTGCCCTCATTCCTAGGCCTGGGATGTCATTCAGAAACCGAAAAGAGGCCAGGGATTTCTATGAAGCGTACGCCGAGGAGGTTGGATTCAATTTGAGCTATGGAAACAGTAAACACATATTCATATATTATACAGTGCAGCAATGAGGGGGTTCATACTTACTTTAAAAAAAATGAGGAGCTGCGTGTTAGGAACAATACCACAAAGAAGACACACTGCATGTCGAAGATGAAGCTTAAAAGAATTTATGATGAAAACAAGAATGAAATATCAGTGGTGATTGAGCAAGTGGATCTAATGCATAACCATCCATGTCTTAAAAAGAAAGAAGAAATAATAAATATGAGATCACACAAGGAAAAGGATCCGGTATTACTTGAGTTTGTTGATGACCTCCAAGCAGCGGATGTCCCGCATCATAGTATACAGAACATTGTTAGAGACATGCATGGGGGAGGTGAGAACGTGCCAATGACCAGGCAGGATCTTGAGAACAGGTCAGTGTGTGCCAACTCTTATACCACCCAGTAAATAGGTACTGTCGATTACATCTGTGTAATAGTAACAAATTTTGCAGGAAGGCGGCTAATGTGAGGGCAGAACATGCCAATGACATTGCGAAGCTTCTAGAATTCTTTGAAGACTGCAAGGCGCAGAACCCACAATTTTGTTGGTATGTCAAGATCGATAAAGAAGGGATGATTCATAGCTTATTCTGGAGTCACGCTAGCATGCAGGCAGAATATAATGATTTTGGAGATGTGATGACATTCGACACCACACACAAGACAAATATATATGAGAAGCCACTAGCTATGTTTGTGGGTGCAAACCATCACCTACAGAACACATATTTTGGATGTGCGCTGTTAGGCGATGAGACAATAGAAACATTCCAATGGGTATTTCAAGCTTTCAAGAAATGCATGGGAAGACATAGGACTAGGTGCATTATCACAGGTAAAGTAAAACTATTTAAAAAAGTGGAAAACACCTTGAAGGTAGAATGAAAAACAATTTCAAGCTGTTTTGGTTGTATTAAGTTAACGATCCTCATGCTCCTATGTGTGGCAGATCAGGATCAGGCAATGGAAGTGGCCATAGGACTGGAATTCCCTGGTGTCATCCACAGGATTTGTCGGTGGCATGTGGTTAACAAGCATATGCCGAACCTGAATGAGATATTCAGCCTTTATGAGAAACAACACTTCAAGGAAAAATTCAAGTCGGTGCTGAACCACCCCCTGACACCCGCCGAATTTGAGAGAGCATGGGAAGAACTGATAACAGAGTTTGATCTGCAAGGAAATGCCACTGTGGAGAGCTTATTCCGGCAACGAGCTAGGTATATCCCAGCTTTCTTTAAAGATGATTACTGTGGGATGATGACATCGACACAGCGTAGTGAGAGCAGTAACTATGCGATTAAGAAGAATTTTGTCGGAAAGCATACATGTTTGCACAAGTTTGCAAAGCATACTCTAGATTTCATGCAGACACGGAAGATGAAGGAGGGAGCTGAAACATACCTTGCAACGGTAAAACTAATTTAAACATTGAATGTACTGTGATTGAAATGGTAGTACACTATGCAAAAACTTATGTTTCGATTGTGTCGTTTGTTGATGCAGAGCAAGACACTTACCAAGAACAAATGGCCATTTGAGGTTCAACTAGGAAGGATATATACACGGGCAGTGTTCAGAAACTTCGAAAAAAAAATGGTCAATTGCACCGCATACAACATAGAGGATGATCCAGAGCTAGGCGAGCATTGGTACAGGGTTTGTCACACGAATAGGTCAGAAGGGATAAGCTGGGGACAACACAAGTTCAAAGTGAAGGCAGATAAAGTCAACGGGACATACAGTTGCGAGTGCAGGGAGTGGGAGCACACAGGTATTGTGGAAAGACACTAGTATCTTAAAGGATTCATGGAATTATGTCGGTACTGAAAGTTGTTGTCGATGCAGGACTATTTTGCGTGCCTTCATTCATGTCCAAGTAGACAAGATTCCACGTGAATACATTTTTAAGCGCTATACAAGGTTCGCTAGGAGGGAGGTTGACTTTGATACGAGCGACAAGCTTCTAACCGGGGAGGACGGCAACACACAAAGCTATAGAACAAAGACTCTAATACCAAAAGCTATGAAGGCGGTCAGATCAGGGAGCATGTCTAACGCTGCTTACAGAAGATTGCTCGAAGTTTTAGAAGATGTCACGAAGGAAATAGACAATATCCCCCAAGACATTGGTGCAGAAGCGAGGAAGGGACAAGGTCCATCAAGGACAGAGGTAAAGACATGTTAGTAAAAGAAGAACTATTTTAATGTACATATAGTAATAAAGGAGGTCTCTAAATTATATATGGCATGTAGGACAATTCTAGAGATAGCAGCAGCGACGATGACATTGAAGAAGGAAGATGTGAGGAGACAAGGATAACACGGGTATGTTTTTTTACATTAAGTAATGAAGCAAGTGGGGGTGAACCTTAGTGAACCATATATGTTAATTCTGGACTATATATTTGGAATTGTGGACAGAAAATTTTACCAGCTGCGAACCAGTTACTACATGGAGGTTGTTCAAAACAAATGAAGGCAGCAGAAATAAAGGTAAAGGTGAAATGGAGATGTGGATTTTGGTTTATTTCAAATGCTATATCAGATCCTATATTACTGCTCCCTGAAATTTCACCATAGCACTTAGCTATTTTAGAAATAGAAAAAATAAAGTTAGTTGTACAATATGTGTCAGTTTGCTTGTGATTGCAATGGAACATCTGAATCCTATTTTTGATCCCTGCCAAGAAAAAAAAATTGAGAATGAGTTGGTAAAGAAAAAAATGTGTAGGGGAAGTAGCTGGTTTAAGATTAGTCATATAATTCCTTGTTTAGGAAGTTGTATTAACTAGTTACTAAGAAACACATTTCATTAGCAGTAGTGCTCCATTGTTTCCATTTCAGTTGACAAGCATAACTGATTAGCTTTAGATTTTGTCATGCTTGTCAAGCACAACTACAAGTTAACTAGTTATTCATTTAATCTGAAAAATTGGTGAATCAGTGTGGAGACTACCGTGTTGACTTGATGTTATCACATAATTTTTGTGAATTACACCATCATAAATGAATGCAACATATGGCATAGTTCATGTGCTCTACTGTATTTAGCTTGATAATGTACCATGATCTTCATGCTGATCTGAAATAAATCTGTAGTAGCATAGACATGATTATAGGCTTTCAAGTGAATTGTAAAAAAGGGTTGATGTTGATTTTTGTTGATTCTATGGACTGCTAAATGAAAAACATGTGCCAGGAATCTGGGACCACATGTAGAGTTGAGGCTAGCCATGTGCTGGATTGCAATAAAGAAATAGGGAAGAAAAAGGCAGCAGCAGCAGCAACAAGTGAAGAAGGGTCACAACATGAACAGGTAGAGCAGCAACAAGTGAAGAAGGTTCACAACATGAACAGCAGTAACCATGATCGTGCACAACCCGTGGCCTCCGCACACCCCACTCCAACGACCGAAAGAAAAAAAAACTCCACATGACCAGTGTAGGCGTCAAGTAGTTTATAGATTCGTCCGATTAAAAGCTGGAGTACAACCCTGGAGCTCAACTGAACTGGGAATATGTAACCGGCCACTTTTTTGCGCATGCATACATGCGCTTCCATACACGCATCAATTCACGAATAACCCAACATACAAAAATGTAATTCAGAAAATCTTCATATCTTCATGTGTACAACACCTCATGTCATAAAAATAGACAAGTCGTTTCTATGCAACCGACATTACATGGATCAAATATATACTGTCAAGCCCACTGTAGCCTCTCGAGGTGCTGCCTTGAGTAACAACACTACACAATCTGACGCTAAATCACTTATCTGTGGATCTGAATTGCCAACTAGCTCAAGAAAAATACCCATGTTGCCACCAAAGTCACATATATCCATGACACAAGTTTGTTGATCAACAGCAATGCTCATGCTGAAGGCACTGTCAACAAGAAGTGCTGGGTTTTTGGAGAGGGCGATACTTCTGTTGCTGCCAGTGCCACAAATAATGAAAGCTCTGCAGAGTTCCAGGGTTGGTTCAAGAAAATCATCCATGTCTTTTGCAGCAACAAACTCAAGTAGGTTCCCTATTCTTCTAACAACTTGAAGCTGAGAAAGAATATGGGTGTCCATCTCAGGTGCTGATGCCAGGACAAAGCAAAGCTTGACATTGCTTACATTTGCATTTGACAGATCTCCTAGCAAAAATTCAAAGCACTGGGATACTGTTGCTTTGTGCAGAATATCAGAGACTTTTACACAACCATGTTCCATTAGCATTACTAGTAGTTTTTGTGCATATATGGGTATGGGATCTTCATCCTCTGCAAAAGAAGGGTACAGTGACAGAAAATGCCTCTGAGAGATTGATTTCAAATCAGTTATTGTTTGTTCGTCAGAAGTTAATGAAGAGTAACTGAAGATCACAATCATCACATCTGAGAGTATCTTCAAACACAGAAATCTGGCATCACCATCTTTATTGCCCTTGTATAAGACAGATAAGCTTGGAATGATACGACTCGTGAATATTTTGTGTTCACCAAGAATAACAGAAGGCTCCTCTGTAGCAGCCTCAAGAACTCGCAACAATGTAATTTGGAAATCATCCCTAGCCTGAAAGTACAACATGGACATAAATAATCCCTCAAGGCAAGGAGTTTTCAACAAATAGATTGTGCGATACAAAACATTGACAAGGCAAGACAGCACCAAAATTGCAGTTATACAATGAATGAAATCTCAACATAATCTCATCAGGATGAAATATCCATATAGTTCACAAAAATCATACCTGAAACGGTGCCTCCAAAATCTTAATAAGATTTGCCAACTGAAGCAATACATGGCCTGTCACAACTCTGTGCTTGAAGGATGCACTTCCCAGAAGATGAAGAATAGCAGGGAACAAATGAATTGTGCTCTTTGGATGAGCTCGCCCAGCTAAAGCAGTAATAGGTCCATGGCGTTTGCCAGCCATAACCTGCTGTATATCGCTGGAGACAGTGTCAAGAATGCCAGGGACCAAAGAAGCAACCAACTGCACAAATGCTTCTGTACATTGATGAATGAAACCCTCCTTCTCTTTTCCCAATCTATCAACAGCTGATATTAATTTTGCATTACAAAAGAAGTGAGGAAGCCACCTTGGACTATTCTTGCAAAGCAGAGCAACAAACAAAAGGGCCTTCCCACGCAGAACATCAGTTCCCTGTTCTATCAGAGAAATGAGCCCGGGGACCAATTGTTTGTCATCTGATAATGAAAGAATATACCGGTTCATGCATGTCACAGTGTGACTGTTAACTAATGCCGAATTGAGAATATTAAGACTAATCTGCTGCTCACGTGGATTTCCCTTGATGAGTGTGGATGCAATATCCTTGAATGATATCTTTTCCAGGATTAAGTGAATGCATGATGGACTGAAGCGAGAGAGGCGGGCCAAACAAGATCCTGCAATGAGCCTTGTACTCTCCTGCTTTCCAGTTGCTTTATAGATGTAGCACAGATGTCCAATCGCATCTTGAGACGCAAAACGGGATGTCCATTCAGTTCCTTGGCTACATATATTATCGATTGTCCGTAAGGCATATAGCTGAGCTAGATCATCTTCGCCCTTTCGCAAGATAGACGACACCAGTGCAATTACAGCACTAGGAACCTGTACAGTTTAAACCAAGGATTGGCACATTATAAATTAAATGGAAAGGGCCTCTTCAAATGCATATGTACTAAAACTACAGTAGGTAAAATACTTGTGCAGTTATTTTTATAGGAAACTAGCCTGTATCAGGTAATTAAGCAGTATCAGGTTAACATTGCAAGAACAAAATACTAATTGACATCTTTACATATTATACCAAAATAGGTATATTAATCATGAACACTGCAAAGAAAATACTATAAAATTAGTTCTTTGCTAAGATCACAACCATTGCTTTCAATGACTTCGGAGCAGCAAAGCATGGCGTATAGTTTCATACTTCCATAATGTGCTTGCCTTTTAACAAAGAGTACCCATATCAGGGAATCTAATAGTGAAACGAATTTGACACAAAATTAATGGGAACAACAAAGCGAGATACATGAATAAGGATATAAAGGAAACCTGAGGAACCAGGCGGCTCCATCCCAAATGATGCAAGCTCGGTAATCAACGAGTGTAATCGGCAATCAAGGGCCGGCGCGATGCGTCTGGGAATGCACAGCGCAGGGAGCTGCTTCTTACAACGCTGAGCGGCAACACGGCAGGGCGGGACGCTGGAGAAGGCCAGCCGAGCACGTCCGACCGGGCGGCGTGCTGCCTCTGCGACCGGGCGGCGCTGGGGGGAGGAACGGCGGGAGAGGCGTCGGAAGGGAGTTGCCGGCGATGGAGGGAAGACGGTGCCGCTTCCCCCACTGACCACGCGCTCCAGGTGAAACGGCGTCGGAAGGGAGGTGCCGGCGATGGAGGGAAGGCGGCGCCGCTTCGCCCGCTGACCACGCGCTCCAGGTGAAGCCGAGCGGACGCCGGACTGAAGAAGGGCGACGGCGAGATCGGATCCAGGCGAAACCGAGCGGACGCCGGACGGGCGAAGGGCGACGGCGAGGTACTCAGCGAGAGCGGCGGCGACCTGGGGTGTGCGACCTGCGGAGGCGCCGGTTGTGCGATCTGGGGCGAGCGGGAGCTACGGAAGCCGCTGGGTGCGAGATTAGAACGGGGAAGCGGCGCCGGGATCGACCTGGTTGGCTCGGTCGGATAGGATGAATTGGGTTCGGGGGATCGGCCTGGTTGCCCCAGCCCCCAGTGCCTCGTCTCCACGTCGCGAGCGGCGCTGCTTCCTCTGACCCGTGGCCCTAGCTCCACGTGACCCCACAACCAGTGAGGGAGGGTTCAGTTTCAGCGTCGTTCGTCAACTTGCGTTGGGTGCGCATAAATTTTTTTCCCCCGGAAACCTTGGGTGCGCATAATTTGAAAGCCCCGTCGTATGAGGGAGAACTTGACAAGATCTAGGAATGTGCACAGAAAAACTGCATGATCCATCATCCATGCCAGGGTCGAGGTGGAGCTAAGCTTGACCAAAGCACTACCTGGCTGTCTGGTGTCTGCCTCAATTAGACAATTAACTATAACTAAATCTAAATCTAGTCTTTTGACCAAAGACTCGCTATATTCTTATCCTATATAGATATATACAGGCACATGCACTGATGGCCGCGTCCTTTTTCTTTATATATCCTCTTTTTTTCTTTTGTCGTTGGCTTTTCCTCGTCGACCAGTGAACCCTGCAAAAACCAAGAGGCATGGATGTACTACTAGTAGGACGCTCTGTGGATGCATTTCACGGGGAGCATGATGTGGTTGGCTCTTGATCTGCAATTCCTGCGGGATGCAACGCAAGACAGGTAGGTAAACGGCCGGCGTGCGTAGGGCGCGAGACGACACCGCAATTCCTGCGGGGAGCATGATGTGCGTAGGCAATGCTGTACTCTAATCAATACTGCTACAAATGTAGAGTAGGTGGCGGTTGTTTCTCGTAACTAAATGCACTCCAGTGATCGATCTTGTTCGTTAGCTTGGGAGCTCACATGGCGCCAACGCATTTTCAAGTGCAGAATCTCTATGGCCTGGCCCGCATTTGAAGCGTGAGATTTTTTTTCTCAGTGAGTAAAATTAAACTTTTCTAGGATTCCTGCTGTGAACATAAAACTGTGACAGTGTGATCTTTTTTTTGACAACAATGACAGTGTGATCTTTAGCCGAGCCCACAGAAACTGCGTACCTAGTCAGCCATCGTTGTGCTAGAAACCAACCTCGTTACGGTGTCAACACTAAACATGCATAGTATCACAGGATCACAGGACACCTCACATGTTCACACTTACTCCTACGTGTGGGTAATTTACGACCAACGCCGTAACAGACGACAGTAATCCTGTACGAAGATTTCTGAATAATGATTCTGTACCGTCCTCCTAACCCTACGACCGAAATGATTACTCACCGCCACCCCGCGGCCCCGCCATCTGCTCGCCTCTCCCGGTCCCGGCCTACTCCTCTGCCGGTGTGCCCCTGCTGGCTGCCCCCACCACCACCACCGTCACCAAACCTCCCCATCTTGCGCTCCATAAAAGCTCCTCCGCCCCCCAGCACCGAAATGACGTGATCCCCATTCCATTGAGGCCCCGTTTAGATGCAACCCAAGGCCTAAAATTTTTTCAAGATTTTTCGTCACATCGAATCTTACGGCACATATATGGAGTACTAAATGTAGATGAAAAAAACTAATTATACAGTTGGCCGAGAAATCGTGAGACGAATCTTTTAAGCCTAAATAGTTCATAATTGGACAATTTTTATCAAATACAAACGAAAGTACTACAGTAGCCGAAAGCCAAAAAAATTCGGAACTAAACACGCCCTCACCCTCCGGTCCCGTTCGCTTGTCTGGAAAAAAAGCCAAAACACTGTAGCAACTGATTTTGTGAGAGAGAAATACTATATCAACCGAAAGATGCAGAGAACGAGCCGGACCAGCCGGCTGGTCTGAATGGTCTGAAATTTTCAGACAGCCGAACGCACTCGGATCGTCACTGCACCTGCCGCCGCTGCCACGTGCCGCCCTTGAAAAATCCCACCACCACCTTCCTCGCCCTCTGCCCCCGACACTCCACTCTCCTCCCGCACTCCACTCTCCCCCAGTCCTCTCACCGCTAGCCATAGCGGCAGCACAATGCAGCCGCCTACCCTTCTCCCGCTCGCCGCCGTCGTCGCCGTCCTCCTACTCGCCGTCGCCCCGACACCCGCCGTCTCCCGCCACCGCCACTCGTCCGCCGACACGGAGACGCTCGATGTAGCCGCCTCACTCTCCCGCGCCCGCGCCGCGCTCTCCACCGACGCCGTCTCGCTGCACCAGTCCGCCGCCGAGGCGAAGGGCGACAGTCGCCCTAGCGGCGGCGGCCTCACGCTGCGGCTCCACTCCCGGGACTTCCTGCCCGAGGCGCAGCAGGGGGGGCGGCAGCGGCACGAGACGTACCGCTCCCTGGTGCTGTCCCGCCTCCGCCGGGACTCGGCGCGCGCCGCGGCGCTGTCGGCCCGCGCGACGCTGGCGGCGGACGGGGTGACCCGTCTGCATGACCTGCGGCCCGCGAACGAGTCGGCGGTGTTTGCGGCGTCCTTGGCGGCGGCGGCGGCGATCCAGGGCCCCGTGGTGTCGGGCGTCGGGCAGGGCAGCGGCGAGTACTTCTCCCGCGTGGGCATCGGCAGCCCCGCGCGGGAGCTGTACATGGTGCTGGACACGGGGAGCGACGTCACCTGGGTGCAGTGCCAGCCCTGCGCCGACTGCTACCAGCAGTCGGACCCGGTGTTCGACCCGTCGCTGTCGGCCTCCTACGCCGCCGTCTCCTGCGACTCCCCGCGGTGTCGGGACCTGGACACCGCGGCGTGCCGCAACGCCACGGGCGCGTGCCTCTACGAGGTGGCCTACGGCGACGGCTCCTACACCGTGGGCGACTTCGCCACCGAGACGCTAACGCTGGGGGACTCCACGCCCGTCACCAACGTCGCCATCGGGTGCGGCCACGACAACGAGGGCCTCTTCGTCGGCGCCGCGGGCCTACTGGCGCTCGGCGGTGGCCCGCTCTCGTTCCCGTCCCAGATCTCCGCGTCCACCTTCTCCTACTGCCTCGTCGACCGCGACTCCCCCGCCGCGTCCACGCTCCAGTTCGGCGCGGACGCCGAGGCCGCGGCGGCCGACACCGTGACGGCGCCACTCCAGCGAAGCCCGCGCACGGGCACCTTCTACTACGTCGCGCTGTCGGGGATCTCCGTGGGCGGGCAGCCGCTGTCCATCCCGGCGTCCGCGTTCGCCATGGACGCCACGTCTGGGTCCGGAGGCGTCATCGTGGACTCCGGCACCGCCGTGACGCGGCTCCAGGCGTCCGCCTACGCGGCGCTCCGCGACGCCTTCGTCCGGGGCACGCAGTCGCTGCCCCGGACCTCCGGGGTGTCGCTGTTCGACACGTGCTACGACCTGTCGGACCGGACCAGCGTGGAGGTGCCCGCGGTGTCGCTGCGGTTCGAGGGCGGCGGCGCGCTGCGGCTGCCGGCGAAGAACTACCTCATCCCCGTGGACGGGGCCGGGACCTACTGCCTGGCGTTCGCGCCGACGAACGCGGCCGTGTCCATCATCGGGAACGTGCAGCAGCAGGGCATCCGCGTCAGCTTCGACACCGCCAAGGGCGCCGTCGGCTTCACCCCCAACAAGTGCTAGCCTGCCTGCCCTTCTGGCCTTCTGGCTGGCTAACCGCCTTGTTAGCCACGGCGGTAGTACTGTAATGACTAGCCGGTGTTTAATTAGCGGGAGAGTGATTAGAGGAGGGTAATTAAGCGGTGGTGGGCCCTGCCGGTCTGGGGAGGAGCGAAAGGCAAAGGCGAGGACAGATGATGCCATGCCTGTTCGTGTTCGGCGCGGGCAGTAGTGTTTCTCTCTTTCCCTCGGTCTCGGTCTTTGAGAGGTGGATGGATGGGTGTGCATGGGATGTGCGTGCCTGGAGCCTTGTCATGACGAAATTAGATCATGGAGCTCCAAGTTTATTTTTATTTTATTTATGTCAAGAAAATGGAAGTTTCCATCCAGCGGGAACAATCGATATGCATGTTACTAATTTGAAGGTACAGCAGTAATCTGTGTCGTGCAAGTGTACACCACTGGTTTAGGTTAGTGAGCACAGGACAGCAATTGGTAGAGCAAAGCGTGCATGCCCGCTGTAGCGCTGCCGCTGCTGCGTCGTCCGGTGTCCCCCCCTCTGTTTCCTTTCGTTGGATTAATTAATGGTGGTTGGCAGCCGTTACTGTTGGGCAGCAGAGCAGCAGTGTTGAATGCACCTGCTGCATGTGAGCCCTCAACGTCCCGGTCCCAGATGCCTCCGAAAGAGGTTGTCCCCACCGTTCCATCCCAATCCCATGGGACCCGGCCCATGCATGCCTGCCTTCCACTCGAAGGATCAAGGACTCAAGGGTGGCGTTGCTGGCCGCCACATGTCATTGTGACGATCTCTGACGTCGGATTCCAGATCGTTGATGCGAGCAAATCGCCATTCGTCCACCCCCTTATTAACAACATTAAACATTTGTATACACGAGAGATCAAATGGTAGAGTATAGATATACATGTACGACCTACAGTGCTGTTACGGTGTTAGTGTTGCCTTTTCCCGTATTTCTCTATGGCCTTGAATGATGTATGTGTGAGCATTTGTCCCGTGCATAGATCGTTTGAGAGTAATAATCGTCAAATACTACTAATTCACGAATAGGCTAATCGTGTGCTCTGCACAATTCGTACTTAGATACAGAAGGCGCAACCGCTGTAGTTTTGCATTACAATAACTCAAATAATCTTGGAAAATACTGCCGATGGAGCAGTCCATTCCTCAGGAGTAGGTGGTACGTCGCTAACAATCTTGTTGAGCACAATAATTAGTGCTCACGCACTCACGCTTGCGATCGATGTCGCATCCCAACGGCCTGCTATGTAAAGAAAATGACAGTCCGCGAGAATTCAAAACAAACAAAATCATGAAACGCCCATGCATGCATCTGGACTGGACCTGGACGTGCCGTGTTATCAAGAAACAGTGCCCCAATTGAGGGAGTGAACTGGTGGTTGGTAACAGATTCCGTTAGTTTTTTCCTATTTTATCCCTCCCTGGCCCTCGTGCTCTTCAGCCTGTTCGCTTGCTTGTAAACGATCGTAAATTTCCAGTCGGGAACAGTGTTTTTTTTTCATACCAAACCAGTCAGCAGTAAATAATCCACGATACGATATGGCCTCCCGAACAGGCTGCTTGTTGTGACGCTCCTGCATTCCTGCAGCTGCCTCGCTGTGATCACTAGGTGGAACACGCGTGCAGTTACTCTCTGATGGTGATATAAATTGGTTTGGTTAGATTAATCTCTACTAGTTGGTCCAACGGCTAATTAGGTCATTGATTCATGTTCTGATCGGGGGCGTCCAGCCGTTCTCCTGGCTGATGCCCCCCGGCGTAACAAATAGGAGGTGGGGGCTTCATCGCCCCACCGAGGTTCCTAGCCCTAGTTCGATCTAGAAGGACGCGCTGTAAGCGACGGGAAGCGCCATCACCTTCGTCGCCGTCACTGGACCGCGCCTCCACGTCGCTGCTACCTCGGCGGCGGCGCCATGGCCGCAACTGCCTCTCGATGAGGTACTTAACAAGGTATTATCTAAGTCATGTTTTACCCATTGATCTACGCCTAGATGATCTTATAAATCCTATCAATGGTACCAGAGCCGGGTTTCTGTCGATGTTTCACCACCGATAGCCTGCCACGGGGGTACCCGGGGCAGTATGTTCGGGCTTCGGCGTATGCTGAACTCGATGGTAAACGCAAGAGACAGTCGATTTATCCTGGTTCAGGCCCTCGATCGTAGATCGAGTAACGACCCTACGTCCAGTCGGCGTTGGCCTTTGCGTTGGATTGATTATGAAGTGTTATGTTGTACAATTGTCGTCCTCTCTCAGGAGCCCTGCCCTCCTTTATATAGTCAGGAGGCCAGAGTCCTAGTCGGTTTACAATGAGATTTCCTAGTAGGATTACTTAATAGTTCTATTACTAAGATTACATGGGAAGAATCCTAGTTGAACTAGATCTTCTCTCTCCCTTGCGGGGTATCCTATGGGTCCCGCATCGACAAGCCCCCGAGCACTTCATGGTTGAGCTCTGAAAGTCTCGCTTTGCTCCTTCAAGTCTTGTTAGGTAGGAACAAAATGTTATCCGAGTGCTTTCTGGAGTGAAACCTTGTAGCGCTTCTTGGGACCTTCGAGTGGTGAGTGTTTTGTGAAGAAAAAGTACATCCATCTGGTTGTAGCCCCCGAGCCTCTTGCTATTTGGAACAAGGAGCTGGAGGATCTTGTCTTGAAGTTGCTCTGATTTTTCGTTGAAGTTTTGTCAAAAAGAACTCGAATATGGCTCGTTCCGGGTTCTTTTTGTCGTAATGTCTTGAAGTGGTCTGCGTTGAGGAAGTCTTTTGGTGACGTGCGCTTTTTCGAAGAAAAAGTGCACTCACTGAGTGTAGCCCCTGAGCCTCTTGCTATTTGGAACAAAAAGTTGGAGGGTCTTGATCCTTTATGTTGTTTGAAAATTTGTGTTCTGAAGTAGTCCCCGAGACTTGAATTATGTCATCATCCGAGTAGTTTTTGTGGCATCTTTCCGAAGCGGCCCTTTAGTCTTGGATTAAACCATCATCCGAGTAGTTTCGCGGCATGCAGCCTCCGAGCCTATGTCCGGGTTCTTTTTGGGTGAATTCTTGTCTTCAAAAAATTCTAGGGCTATGTATCCCGCAGCCCCGTGCTTTCTCCGAGTTCTTCTCTTTAGAAAAGAAGTCGAATGAAGAGTCTTGATGTGTCGTCGTCGTTGTAGTCTTGAGTTTCTTGTATTCTTGGTCCTTTGTCTTTGGTTCTGAGCCTCCGAGAGTAGTTGAAATGAAGGTCGAGCTCCCTAGCTTAGTGTTGATTAAGCTATGATGCTGGCCGAGCCCCCGAGCATATATCCGTGTTGTTTCATTCAGGAAGAACTCGGATGCGAGGTCTTGGCGTATTCTTTGATAGTCTCACCGTTGTCGATATATAGTTGTATGGTGGTGGTTGAGTGTAAACGCCTTTTGTTCACGGGTTGTACTTGTCTTTGGTATATTCTTCGAGAATATGCCCGCCTCTTAATAATCGCTTCCTCTCTTTGAGTCATCCATTATTGAGTCCTGTCTTTTCACTGTGTCCTTTGTTAGGCTTATTTCGTTGGTACTCCTAGTCCATGTGCGCCGCTCCTTTGGTCTATAAATACTGTCCCGGAGTGCTTGTTTTCATCTATTGGATATTCTGTTGAAACTTTCGTGGTCATGAACATGGTAGTTCGTGAAGTAGAGCAGCCCCCGGGCATATTTTGTAGTTCCTGTGGGTCTTGTCGTAGCTGGAGGAAGTCTTGTGATGTGGGCTTCGTTTCTTCATCTGGCAGTTCTGGGTTGATCCTCGTCGCCTGTCTTGAGACTGTCCGGTGCAGATCAACACCATATGCAGCATCACATCGGTCTTGGGTAGACAGATGCCCACCGACCTTCTCTGCTCCATGTTGTCTTGCCGTGCTGTCGATTTCTGCCTTGGGTGCACTGCGTCCGTCCTTTGAAGAAAACAGTGTAGCTGATGGCGGTTTGTCCTTCCGAGTAGCAATTTGGGACACGTAGTCGTTCTAGAGCCTAGCCGTGTCCGCGTTCCTCTTTGCTACCTTGCTTTTCGTGGTGCCGAGTTCGTTGGGTCTTGTAAGATTTGTAATCTTCTATTTTTGAAGTCGCTTGTAATGTAACGAATCTTGTCTTTAAGATTTGTAATCTTCTATTTTTGAAGTCGCTTGTAATGTAAACGAATCTTGTCTTCCGAGTTGTCTTTTACTTTTCTGCACAGATCTCTCATGTTCATGAGATTACCGAGTTCTTTCTTAAATAACCGGGTTCTTTTTTGTTCCTTGTGAGGTAGCCCTTTCTTTCTTCTTTTTCTTTCTTCTTAGTTTGACGGGTTGTTCTTGTAGTGATCTCGATAACCCTGCCGTGGTCTTTGACGGATAAGTCTGAAATCGCCTGCTTGGTTTGTACCGTTGGTGGATTTGTGCCCTCCGTCGCTTTTAGTCGTCGGTAAATGGACCGCTATGCTCCCACACTTTGTTTTTATCGGGCCTTGTGGGCCGTTTGTATCAATCGAAAAATCTATTTAAAGACCCTTTATCTTCCTTTCGCTTGCCCCAAATCTTGCCTTTTTAAACCCTAGCTTTAAAATCCGCCACCGCCATCGCTGCCGTCCCACCCGAAACACCATCATCCTAGCTTCATCTTCCTTAGTGCCTTTTTTGCTTCCGCCAGTTCATGGGAAAGAAGAAAACCGCAAGCAAGTCTCAGCGACCTTCAGTGAGCGAGAGTCATCCTTTCTTTGATCGAAAACCAGAGTTCGTGGCTATGAGGGTCTGCTTTCGTAAGGTTTGGCCGGCTCCAACAACAAGCGAAGACCAGTCACTTGCCTTGAGCTCGTTAGCGATGACTTGATCCAACGCAAAGTCATCGCTGAATGGAGAGTTCCGAAGCGAGCATCGGGTTCCAGCTCTGGGTCCCGTGAGATTGTCCTCTTTGTTTCCTTTGTCCGCGCCGGACTTTGCCTTCCTGCTTCCGCTTTCCTTCATCAGTTTCTTGGTTATTTCGGGGTTCGTCTG